AGAGATCTTCCAACCCCAGGCTGCCCAAGCAGCCCGGAAGCAGCAAGACCCCGAACCAAGCATTGCTATACAATATTAATCATTTCTGGGCTGTCGAACCGTGACGTCACCTGATATGCCAGCTTGGCAGCTGAGCAGAGCAGTAGACAAAACATGAAGAAAATAATGTGTGTGGCTGTTGTTTTCGTGGTGTGTATCTAAAACAATTTGACATAACATTACACATTAAGACAAATATTATGGTTACTTTTACCGTCATAATAACATTCGTCCCTGACTTGAGCCCTTCTGCCTTAACTGTCCTTGCATTTAACAGCCTGAGGAAGACATCCTGGCTACACTAAACATCTTCTAATACAACAGATCTCTAATCCATATCTATCTAACTAAGAAATTACCTAACAGGGGTTAGCCCAAAACTTATAAATGTATTCGGCTTTGTGTGGCCAGGGATTCCTTTTTCCAGCAGCCAGTGTGTGTGTTTCTGGAGGAGGGAGCAACCTGACCTGGGTCGTGTTTGTAATTTTTACTTGTGGTTTAAAATAAATCAATACTAAATGAAGAAAGACGGACTCTTTCATTATTCAGAGCTGTCCAATAAAAGAATTGGGGTATTACACAGTCATCTATTTTGTATTTTTTTTATGCCACGATGAAACGAAGTGCAGTTTAAATAGGTAGATGCAGTACATGATCTTTTTCTGCTCCCTTCAATCTCCCAAATTTGACACGATAAATTGTTGCATGCAGTAGTGACACTGACTCATGATCTGTTGTATAAAAGCAGAAGCTCAGCTAAATGTCAGCAGGGAGCACCTGGAATGCTGCTGCAAGGCTTGGCTTATAAAGGGTTTTCCTAATTATGGCTGAAACAGCAGAGCCTTCAGTATTTTCCACCCCTCGATCCTCAATGCATCTTTTGATTGTTAAAAGGGGGGAAGGTGCTTCATTAGTATGCATCTTTTAAGGCGTGAGGGCTGCCTGCAGATGCAGGAGTTGAGGTGGTGGGGGCATGGGAGAAACTGGGTCAGTCACATGCCCAGGACTTCTCACCACATGCCTATATGCAGATGATCTTAACGAAACTGCCACTCTCTATGCCTAATTCTCAGATAGCAGCCATGACCTACTTTCAACAAAGACAGGCTTATGCAAACTTGATGATATGTTTATAACAGAGGAGCCCATCATGCGCTGCCTGAGGTGAGCCTCGCAATGTGGAGTCAGCAGGAGGCCTCTATGTTAAAAAGTGGCAGGCTTACCAATTCTGTCCTGGCTGAATAAATGACAGTAGTGGCAATGACACTGACACAGCATGGGATTGGACATGCAGGGCTGTGAGGGTTGTCAAGATCACCTGAACCCTGTTAGCTAAATGGTTCATTTCCTAGTTATGTGATAGCCTAAGGCAGTCCAATGATTAATGCATGAATCTGAATAGCTCTCTTTTAAAACTGTAGTGACAGACATAAAACATGTCCCCATTGTTCCTGTATTACTGCAGCCACTATAGATATTTCTTTTCAATAATAGCTGAGTAAGCAGGATCCTGTATCCTGCTACACATCTAAAGGCCCAAAATTAGGACTGGATATTAAACATCAATATTTTTGTATGAATAAAATGTGTCCCAACAGAATACCAAGGTCAAAAGTTGGTATCAAATGTTTAATCAAAGTTTCAGACTATTCTGTTGAGCCAGAGGCTTTGTACAATATGTCTGCTCATCTTTTTGACACCATTTAACATTTGAGAACATCAGTCCTTGAAAAAATCTGCATAATCAAATCCCACTCAAAAGTTGTTTAACTGAGCAATGGATATCACAGTATCCAGATCCTGTTTCTTCTTACCACATTTTTAAACATTAAAATGTAGGGCTGGTTACCAAACCTCCTTATGTCTTTGATATATACAGTGTCTGTTTTAAAAAACTGTGAATGAGAAAAATGTTATATTGCATCTGATAAGACTCCAAATAGCTTTTGATTCAATCAAATAATTCCTGATTCAAATCTAATGTTGCCAGTTTTATTCTAATTTATTCAAATGAACTTTGTCTATGGCCACTTGTGAGAGAGATATAGAGTCCCACTTCTGCCAATCTGAGGTGTGAGGTGATGATTTATGGCCCTGCCATCATCAGCTCCATCTACCCCAAATGTCCCATCTACTTTTTGCACTTCACTTTCATCTAGATCAAAGGCTGTCAATTTTTATGGAGCATAATTACAGACTTCAAAGGGTTTTGCACTTAGGTGTTACTTTTCATCTTTAGTGGATTTTTTGTATGGTTTTAATAACAACATTAAAGGATATTATTAGGGTATCCCATGAGAATAGGACTGACCAACACTCCCCAGACCAGGGTTATTACATCAAAGGGATTTTATTTGGGTGTTTCAATAGGACTGACTACCTGCCCCAAAGACTTAGCTTAATGCTCTCTAAATGTTTTATAGATGTAAGGATTAATGTTTCTCTCTAAATTAAATAATCTTAGGAAGAGCAGCTGTTTCTTCCCACTGTATGGGTTAGTTTAGTTTCATGTTTATTCAGATGTAACAAGGGAATCCTGTCTCAGCTATATTCAACTAATCTTCACATAACCCCACCAGAGGGCGCTGTTTAAAACTACAGCTTATCCTGCAATATCGATTACAATGACAAGAGTAGCGTTATCAGTAGTTACCTTTCTCAAATCTAAGGATTAAAGTAGATAAATAACCCTAAAGTTTTTAACTAAGAAACTTTATATGTTTTCATGTCTGTAATGAAGCAAGAAGGCATTCTGTTCTACTATAGTTGACCTGCAGGCTTTCATCACTGCAAAAAATGATTTTTTTGACCCAGTAAATATTACTCTAATAATATGTTTAAACTTTACAAGAAATTCTCGTGTTTGTAAATTTAATTCAGAATTTAACCTCGAATTTAATGTGATACTTGGTGTTTGTATGTAATTTTGTATACTCGTTTATACAAGTAAAGTTTGTATGACAATAACAAGTAATATTAACTACACTAATGCATTGTCTGCCTTAACTTCTTGAGAGGAAGTAAACTTTACTTATGCGAGCAAATCTGGCAACACTCTCCAAACTCGGTGGGTGACGTCACAGGGAGTTTGCGCTCCAAACAAACCAGGACTTTTTGAATGGCGGCTGAGTTTGAGAGGGACATACAGACAACTGTTTGAATTTTTTTAATAGGACAATTGTGACTGTGGCTGCGAAGGTAAGTATGTTTGTGTTCTTGGTTATTTTACTGTTCTGGTAGCTTGTCAACTGAAGTTACCGTTTGGTTAATAAATACTTAACATTGTTATTCAATGTAGCCTTAGGGCTCAACATTAGCTAGCTAAATGCACTTGACCCAAAATAATTTACTAATAGGCTAACGCCAGTTCGTTACCTTTGTGGTTAGAGACCTGTTTTTGCGGAAAATATAATGTTGCTTAATTATTTCAGCGGCACTTTGCGAAAGCCAGCACACAATTGTTAGGTATTTTTAGTCAGATAGATATTGGTTAGATACTTTATGTATTAGAAATGTTTAGTGGAGACAGGATGTCTAGTTAGACTGTTAAATGCTTAGTCATGCTTATGAGTTTCTACAGGGTACATCTGGTCAAGGATAACTAGAGAGAAGAGTTGATGACTGTCAGCAGACAGGGAGTTTAATATTATTATTATGACGTGTATAACTGTAGCCTCAGCCATAACATTTTCTTATATTTAATGTCATGACATGTCACAGGAGGTCACGTGAGAATGTTTATAGCTACACACCACTTAACCAACAGACACACACACACATCGATTTACTTCATGTTTTGACTACTGCTATGACCAGCTGCAAAGCTGGCACCAGAGACGTCGCGGTTGACGTTTCTGTGTAGTATGGGGCTAGCCCAACCGAGGGGATATAATATATAGGCCTGGTTTGGTTCAGGGTCTTTCATCTTACATCTGCCTGCGAACAGTTTGGAGGTGCAAGATACCTGAGCGTGTAATGTTAATTTTACCTGTGATCCTTTGAATAAATCAGCACTGTTTTGAAGTTACTTGGACTGCCTCGTCTCTCAGAGTTTGCCGGATCTGGGCCATCATCGGGCCGCACTATTTTGGCTACCTGGGTAGCTTCGTATTGTGCAGTTATTTTACCATCATTAGTGGCTCTGTGATCTGCATTGTTAACGTCTCTCCTTTTAGAATCCCACCCAAAATAAGTAATTACTCGCTTTCTTTTCAAATTCAAATGTGTATATCAGTTGGAGAATAGTGTTTTTGCAAGAGTTGTTTCTTTATATGCATATTACATTTGATATATTGTACCTGATATATTTTACAGATCATTCTAAGAAATTGACTTGATCAGCAAGTTGGTCTTAACAGCTGGTGCAGGGTAAGTTGATCAAATTAGTACTTATAAATTCAGTTTGACATGTTCTACGTAACATATTTTAGTAACGTGATTTGTTTTGGGACTTTTTTCCCCCTTCAGGTGCTCACAACATGAGATGGATGTGTAAAACATTAGAGATGGAAAGAATGGACTTGCTCAAGGAAATAATGAAGAAAAACAATGACAAGATAATTCGTCAAAAAATTGAGAAATCCTTCTCCTATCGAAGACTAGAAGTGGCCAAGCAATGCTCTGCTGTCCAAGACTTCATTGAGATATTAACCAGTGATATGTAGCATAGGGTGATATGTAACTATGTAAACATAACTGTGACATATAAGTATGTAAACTTATGTGTGCTATAAAATAAAATCATTCATAAGTGCATAAGTGCATAAAAATCACCCTAACACACCTAAGCTCCAGGAAGGTTAGGAGCTGAATGGGATGCTAATCCATAAGGTTTACAAGACCAAGGCCCTATATGTGAGGCCATCAAGGACCCTTTTAGTAAGTTAGCTTTTTTAACCACTCAATTGTGCTAAATAAAATTTTCTTTTGATAAAAAAATATAGGCTGTTTTTTGCCCATGGCAATATAAATTATATATTAAATGAAAGCAGATTGAAAGATTTTACAGCAATCAAAGCAAAGAAAAAGGTATAAAGGTTTCCAACATTTATCTGTTAAGGAATTGCATGTTATCATTATGGTTATTTATAGCATTTTAAAAATTGTAAATATTTATTTTGTGATATATATTTAGTTTTCTCTCTTTCTCTAAGACTGATTCTAACGAAGAAATTGAGCCTTCTAACGTCACTCCTGGATCAGTGTCAAGCACGCTTACAACTACTACAAACATAAGTAAGTAAGTAAGTAAGTAAATTTTATTTATATAGCACCTTTCACAGACAGAGTCACAAGGTGCTTTACAAAGTCAAAGGATAAAAAGAGATAAATAATAAACATAAAAAGTACTCACAATATAAAATGAATAAACCCAATCAATTAAAAAACTGTCTAAATAAATGTGACTTCAGCTGTTTTTTAAAATCATCAACAGATTCGGCCATACGTAGAGTCAAGGGCAGGGCATTCCACAGTCTTGGAGCTACGACCTGAAAAGACAGGTCCCCCCGAGATTTAGGATGATTTTTAAAAACACATGCAGATGGTGGAATCATCCGCTCTTATTCTATACCTCCAGCCCATCCCATTCCTCACCTGCCCATAGCTTCTCAGCCTCTTGCAAATATGTAATTTTTAAAACAGAATCTCCCGCCCAGTTAGCGACCGCGTCGCTAGAGGTTTTCTCCAAATTCTCAGAACCTCTTAGCCCCAGTAGAATACATTCTGCAGCATGTCTGATCTTTTCCTCAGACACACAGATGCTGTATTTCTCCAGGAGGTGTGATGCCGCGACCAGAAAATGGTCTGTCAAGACCCGTTTCTCCAGATCGTGATAATGCTTGCTTAAAAAATTGTCTGGGATGCCAAATAAGCACGTGTGCTGCTTCTGGCTTCCGTGAGAGATCTTGCAGCCATAACACAGATATTCATTGTGGTCCCTGCAATGTGTAGGATGCGGGTGACAAGGCACTTAACAATGTCGGAAAACAGTCTGAGCATAGCCCCGTCCAGCTCGTTGTTAGTTTGCCCTTCGGGCTCCTCCTCATGGATCGTTTCCAGATCAGTGCTGGGATGTTGAGGGGAGAGAACCATTTCCTCAATCTCAACGCTCTGGGTGTTACTGGTGCTGCTCTCCTCACTGGGTGTGTCGAGGTCCATCGGTGTTACGCCGGTCTGCTCAAGAGACCCTTTTCTCTCCTGCACCTGCTCAGGGGTGGTGTCAGTGCTGTGCTGGCTAGTCTCGTCCACCTGCTCAGAGCCGCTGTCAGTGCTGTGCTGGCTGCAGTCTTGCACTTCCAGATCTGGGGTGGTGGTACCAGAGGGAGGGGGCTTGGGGGCGGGACAAAGCTTCTGATTGGATAACCTTTCACTTAGAACTGTCAAATCGAGTTTGATGAAAGCCGGTATCTATACTGTGTGTAATGTTAATTTTATTTTTTAGGCATCCTCTCTAGCTTCTCAGATTGTTTCTGCAGCTGACACATCAAACAGCACTTCAGGCCAGACAACAGGTCCATGCACCAGAGATAAGTCAAGTCCTGCAAAGACAGTGACTACGGTAAATGTGAACCAAATTTGTCAATCAAATCACCTACATTACTATTGCTACAGCATTTACTGTATGTAAGCCACAAATAAAGATTATATTTACAGTGTAACACATTTACATACTAAGACATGGCAATTATTTCCCATTTTCTCTCCATCTTTATGTTAACTAATACTGCATGTATTTATGTACAGTACTTGTAGTTGTGCGTTTTATTTATCAGGCTTCACGGGTTTCATCAGGTGATTGCTCAATTGCCATAGAACTGCAGCTTGTTCAAATTTCAATTTCTTCTCTAGTCCATATTTGAATTAAGTTAATTGAAAGTTACTTCTTGTTCATTCCTGGTGTATAGTTTCCACCAATGGACCTGTTCTTATACCATACGTGTGATGTGGATTGGGTATCCAACAAACACTACATTTGTTTACACATACAGTACAGTAACATTTTCAAGCATCAGTTCCTGCATTTGTAAAGGAGATGAATCTCGATTCACACTACTGCTTTGAGTTAGGACATGTTTGTACATATTGCTCTAAACATTGTATTCTTTATGCACATAAACTGGGTCCTTACTGTTACATTTTCACTTGCCTTCCTTTAAATACCATACTTTCAGCAACCTTTGTTGCTTTGCACCATGGTAATAGTTTTTCTTTTTAAATGTTATAAACTAATTAATACATTGGACAGTAATTGTTTCTATTTCAAGAGGAATACTATTAATAGCTGTCTCAAACAGATATAATTTCTCTGATTATATACTATTCATGTGTCAGATTGTATATGCATCACAAATGTATCATATACAAAAAAATCTGTGACATTGTTTTATTATGTTTTGTAGTGGCTAGAGTGTGGTGCCGACTAAATTAATTCAGACAAATCATCCCAATTTAAGTAATCATTTAATATTGCAATTATTCTGGACAGAGTAGTAGTTAACTAAGCCATCTGGTAGTTAAGGAAACAGAACTCACTTGATCATCAACTTGGTCTTAACAGCTAGTGCAGGGTAAATTGATCACTTAGTGCTTATAAATTCAGTTTGACATGTTTTATGTAACGTATTTTAGTAACATGATTTGTTTTGGGACTTCATGTGCTCACAACATGAGATGGGTGTGTAAAACATTAGAGATGGAAAGAATGGACTTGCTCAAGGAAATAATGAAGAAAAACAATGACAAGATAGTTTGCGAAAAAATGGAGAAATCCTTCTTCTATCGAAGACTAGAAGTGGCCAAGACTTCATTGAGAGATGGCCTGCTCTGTTCTGTGAAGCTCAGGTAAATGTGGTCCTTTGTTTCATCAGCTGATGCTATGATTGTTGCGTACAGGTTGCAAGATAATTAGTAAAATGCACTCAATCCCCCAGTTTATTTGATACTCCTTGCTAATACAGCCCTAGACATTCTACATTCACTGAGGCTATGGTGAGTGTTTTTTTTTAATTGCTTTAGAGAGGTGTTATTTCAACTTGATGGTCATTTTACAGGATGTAATTTATTGTATTGCATTACAGTTCTACAGCAGTACAGCTCACATCCTGCTGTATGAGCATATAACACCTCTCTGAAATGGTTTGAACTAAACTGTACATTGTCACCTTCAAGACGGAGGATCTGCAGTATCTATAAAAAGTGTTCACCACCTTGGATGCTTTCATTATTAGATTATTGTGTTTTATCACCTTTTGTTTCAGATCAAAGAAGAGTTCAGAAGGATAACAGCAATACATCTGGGGTGGACCTTTTTCTCAAAGCTGGACCTCGACACCCCCAAACTTCTGGAGATATTTAAGACAGAGAAGCAGGCATTCCAGGCAAAAAGATAAGGCCCATACTAGAGTGACCCAGTCAGGTAAAATGTAATTCTCACATTTAATGAGAAGAGAGAACTGAAATAATCTTTACAGATCTTTTAAACAACCATTTAGAACTCCTGATCATGGATACTTCAGTCCTTTTTTTGACAAGTCAGTGATACTGTATATGTTTTCCCTCACTGCTTTCATATGTTTTGTTTAGAATTCATAAAATTCTCTGGTTAGTTTTGTAGCAGACTCCATTGACTGACCTAAAAATTATGTTGCTTTCTTTCTATATGCAGCTTAGTTATGTACAATAATGTTCTTTGCAAAATCTTTTCTACCTGTTGAAACAGCAGCATGTGGAAGGTACCCACGTTCTGACTCTCACCTATGGTCATGGGATAGTCTGGAGAGGACCTTGTCAAAGATTACCAGGTAAATTTTGACATTTGCTTTCTGATGATTGTTGAGTCAATATTCAACTTTGGTTTTAATATCTAAACAGTAAACATTTTACCATTTCATTTATTCATTGATTTTGTCATTTACTGTTTTTCTGCTGTTACTGTTATTTCTGACTTGTAAGCTGTAGATCGGCAACACTTTATGCATTTCTTATTGCGAAGATAAACTATTATTACATATATAAAAAAAGAAGTGCAGTGCATTTTCAGATCGAGCAGTATACTATACCACTGAAAGGATAGTGCCTGGAGAAATGGTACCAAAGATGTGAATGAAAGCCAGAAATACCACCCACCACTGAACAGCAGGGAGGCAGCGATTAAAGCTGTGCCATTTTTTGTTCTGAATTAATCATATATTTCATAACAAGATTTCTATTGCATAATCAGGAAGTTTGAAAACAACATGTACAGTATATGCATCTGAGTACAGATACTCATGTTTTAACAGGATGTCACCAAAGAAACTGTCAAGGAGGGCTATGCCAAGCATGTCATGAAGAGCTTTGTCATCCTTGAAAGTGCTGCAACCGAAGGCCCTACTCCTACTGATGTGTCGATCATCATCGAGGGCACTGAGGTTCTTGATAACTGTAGATATGTCTCCATGACAGAAAAGGGCTGGTTGTCTAAGGCAATGAATTCCATTACTTTCTCAGTAATGCCACATGCTTTGGGACTATCATCTGCAAATTTCTTAGTCTTTTCAAAGAATGTGGC